ACCTGATTCCTATTTTGGGGAACCAACTTTCAAAATCGTCATTTTGAGGAACCAACTTGCACCTGATTCCTACTTTGGGAAACCAACTTGCAAAATAATTATAGAAAAATAACTAAAATTCATTTCTTTTCAAAAATTAATGCAATAAAATCTATTTTTCATTTCAAATCTCGTTTTTTTAAATTCAGATATCAAATTGAAAATTTTTTGAAAAAAATCCAAATTACCACGATAAAAATTGTTTTTTACTAATGCAATAAAAAAATCAATTTAATAGAAAAAAATTAATTGATACAATAAAAAATAAATATTAAATATCACATTCAAGATTTTTATATCTAACCAATCTGTGTCAATATTAAAGTTTAAATCAAATTTGGCAAATCCAACAAAAAATTTGATAGAGACCCTTAAATTATCTGTTACCTGTTCAACAGATCAATCAGACCCTTCAATAAACAAAAAGTTCGATAAAGACCCCTAAATGACGATTTTAAAAGTTGGTTCCCCAAAATAGAAATCAAGTGAAAGTTGGTTCTATTTTGGTGTAATTTTCCCATTTTTCTATAATTATTTTGCAAGTTGGTTCCCCAAAATAGGAATTAGATGCAAGTTGATTCCCCAAAATGACGATTTTGAAAGTTGGTTCCCCAAAATAGGAATAAGGTGAAAGTTGGTTTCCCAAAATGACGATTTTAAAAGTTCGTTCTCCAAAATAGAAATCATGTGAAAGTTGGTTCCATTTTGGTGCAATTTTTCCATTAATATAATATATAAAATTTACAAAATAAATGAAAAAAATATTACTAGAAAGTTACCCGGCCAAAATATTGCAATCATCGAACATTTGCACAAATTCTATAAGTATAAAAAGAAATTCCACATGTTTGAATTGAAGAAAATACGTTAAATCATCAATCAATAACGACCGCTTTGGAATTGGTGAATTGTGTAAATTATAGTGTGTATATGATCATATATTTATCGGCATTCTTTATATTAGCAGTGGGTTTGGATTGGATTGAAGCAAGTCTAATTGAATTTCAACCATATTAATTATCGGTCTAACAAGTTGAGTTTTATTATATCATTTACGAGTTAGATTGAATGCTTTATAAAACTTCTCGAGAATGATATCTCAATTTGTCAGTTACGAGTGAGCCAGAAAATGTACCTTATATTGGGGTGTTTGGAGACAGGTTCCCATATAGACCCGTTAAGCTACCAGTAACTAACTTTTTAACCAAATTAATAGCTTTCAAACAATTTGAAGAATTCTGTGAATTTGAAAGATCTATGAAACAAAAAAATTAGCCAAAAATCTCAAAAATGTCCATTTTGGAATTTTCTTTTTTATATTTGATTTTTGTTGTGAGTAGGTCAAGTTACGTTCCAATTTCGTCTAGCCATGCCTAGGGGTGTTCAAAAACCCAACTAACCCAATCAACCCAACCCAATGCGAAATAACCCAACACGAAGCAACCCGATGTTTAATCGAGTTGTAAAATTATCAAACCGTAGGTATTGAGTTGATATTGGGTTACTATTATTTGAACTCAACTCAACCCGATGAACCCAATATCCTTTTATTTCTTGGATTTAATATAATTGTTGAATTTCTATTAATATATAGATTAGACAATTACACTATCATGTATGCTTTTCATATACACATATTTTCAATCTATTCATATTTCTATATAACTCATTCAGTAACTGTGAACATATATATGTAAATTGAGAAAATTAACTGAATGTGATAATGAAAAAGAAATTATGAGCAGAGAAATAACATATTGAAGGTTAAAAGAATATTTTAATATACTAAATTATCAACCCGACCAATCCGTGCGAGTTCGGTTGGGTTGCACTTTGGTTTGGATTGGGTTAAGATTTTTCCAAACAGCATTCATTGAGTTGGATTGTTTAAATGTACTCGTCCCGGATTGGGTTGCACTTTGGTTTGAATTGGGTTAAGATTTTTCCAAACAGCAAGAATTGTTTTGGATTGTTCAAATGTACTCGTCCCAATCAACCCACCCGCAACCCTAACATACCACTGCCATCTTCATGTACGACACAGTGTTTGTGTTTATCCCAATAACTTGATCCTACTAATTTCAACGCCATACCTGAATAAGGAAGATACAGTGGTTTGGAACTTTGATCCTTCAACAAGTTGATACCATAACTTTACCTTGTTACATTGCAAAAAGCAAGTCGAATAGCATATCGTTTCTGCCACCGAAAACCAAAGTTAGATCCATGATACAGACACCAAGATGATTGGTGTTTTTCTGATTTCGTGCTATTTGATCTCATGCCCGTCAACCTAATCGATTCAATGCGTCTCGAGCCGCAATACACTCGGGGTCAACCCTAAGCGCACCCTTATAAGCCTCGATGGCCTCCTCTTCCATTTCTTTCTTCTCGTAACACTCTCCCAACAATCGAAACATTTTCGCATTATCCCCTTTCAATTTGACAGATTCAACCAGGTCTTCAATCGCCGAGTCAACTCGCCCTCTCTTACTCCCCTTCACTTTGATCTCTGCTCTCTTGAACAACGCATCCCCTCTCTCTGCGTCGCTCAAAGTCTTCGCCGTCAACGGCGACAACGCAACATCCAGCGCTTCCAAAGCCGATGTACTAAAACCTTGTGCATCGAGGGCTAGGGCTTTGAGTATGTGTGGTGCGGCGTCCTTTGGATCGAGCGAGATGGATTTGTCGGCTTCTTCGGCGGCCGATTTGGCTAGTTTAGCGGAGGAGGCTCGGTCTTTGGTGGATCTGGATTTAGCTAAGAGCTGAGCGCCGATGATGAAGTGACGCTTGGCGGAGTAGCTGGATCGGTTTCTGTAACGTAATTTGGTGAAGAGATTTTGAGGTATGTTTTGCATCCATAGGAACATAAAGATGGTGATAAGAATAAGAGCAGCTTGCGTCACCAGATCAATAACCATTTTGATTAAAATCGCTTCTTCGAGCTCTCGATCCTGATGATGGAGGGGGGTTTTTTGTAGAAAAGTGATCGATTTGATCGAGAGAAAGGGTTGAAAGTGATGGATTCAACCGGTAGTCAAGAAGTTATATGGTTGGAAAATTCAGGGGTTAGTTTGGGATTTTGCTTATTTAAAATAAGTTATATGTTTTAAGTCATTATTAACTTATGTGGTGTTAAATCAGAATTTTATAGAAAATGTTTGAATTAGCTTATGACGGTATCAAAACGCAATAAGCTAAAAAATTGTTTTTTTAGTGTTTGACAAATTTTACTTATACATGTAAAATGACCAAAACGATTACTTCTTTTGATTCTAATTCACATTTATTCAATTATCTAATCTTGGTTTTAAAAAGCGCGATGCGGTCCAATGCGTTAAAGGTCCCAGAAGCTGATGTATGATGCATGATGCTGATGCGCTCGCATCACGCACGTGATGAGTCCGGTATTCAAAAAATATTTATAAATTAATTCTACATATCAATTTCTACCTTAAAAATACTTACCTATCAAAATACTTCTTTTATAACATAAAGTAGTTAAAAAAGTGGCATTAGAATCTTAAAAAGTTCGTGAATCGGAATAACGGAAGTACTGAACACACAAACTACTACCATGAAGAACACAAGTAAATGTCTAATAGTCCCCAATTCCTAAACTAAATGACCAACCAAGTAACCAACTAATACTCCCCAAGATCAGCATTATCAAACCCCAACACGGGTTCATCTCCCTTATCATTATCAAACCCTCTAATATATGCTTCCACCTCAACTTCATCATCTTCATCCTGAAGAGCATGTCCTTTTGCTCTAGCACTTCTAGCTCTTGATGGACCCGACCCATCATCATTTACTCTCTGGCTCCCTCTTGATGCTCTAGTGAAATGAGGAGTCTCAAACGCCCCGGAAGCTCTACCTACGTCATCCCACGTAAGATCATCATCAATAAACACCAAATCATCATCTTCATCATCATTGTCCATTCTCCCCATCAACCACTCATTACTTTCATATATGTCTTCTACAATGATAGGATCACTATTTCCCTCCTCCTTATATCGAAGTTGCAAGGCACGATTAAATTTCACATAGACCATGTCATTCAATCTTTCTTGTGCTAATCTATTCCGCTTCTTGGTGTGAATTATAATGTCATGTACGATACTTATATGTTGAAACACACCCCAATTTCTCTCGCAACTTGTAGCACTACAAGTAAGACTAAGAACTCGTATAGCAATCTTTTGCAAGTTGGGAGATGAAGATCCAAATGTTGTCCACCACTCCGCTATAAGGAACAAATATTTAAAAATTAAAATATCCATAGTGTGTAATGTAAGTATAAAAATATATTTTCAATTTAAGATGATTACCTGGTGCCATTGCCTTCCTTTGCCTAATAGCCGCATTTCTACCAAATAGCCCTTCCGCATTTTGATACTTGCCTAATTCTCTTAATATTAGGTCTTCTACTTGAGGACTTGGAGCCAACCTTTCAATACAAAAATGTAAACCTTCCATGACTTCTTCACAATTTACAACCCTTTGTGCATTATCATAAAAAGTAGACGAGTTTAGGTAATGTCCCACGGCATGTAATGGTCGATGGAGTTGACATTCGCACCGATTATCAATTATTTCAAATGTTTTCTTGTAAAGGTCCTCTTGATTGGGAAAGATTTTAGCAATAGCCTCCTTAGCCCTATCCATGGCTTCATAAATTATAACACATGGTTGACTTTCTTTCCCCGTCAACTAACCTAAGAACACTAACAAGAGGGCCCGTCAACTTGAAAGCATACATAATATTCCTCCAAAATGTCTCTTGTAAGATATAGGAGTGCAACATCTTTCCCTTCTGTTCACTTGACCATTTGCTATACATCCATTCTTGAGAAGTAATCATCTTTCTCAAGTTATTCTTTTGTTTGTGAAATTGAAGAAGAGTGATAAAAGATGTAGCAAATCTTGTGATTGTGGGCCTATGCAAGTTCCTTTGATTCGTGAACTTTCGAATCAAGCTCACTAGACCAACAAAATTGTATATGTATCTGTTGGTCCCGAAAGGGTCTACAAGATAAGACACAATTTGTAGAAGGGGAGGGATGAATACAAACACAGAGTTTTCAAATTTAAATATATATTGATTGAGAAGATCAATACATATTTTACAAGAATGTTTGCGGAAAGATAAGGTAAAGAAAACCTATCTAAACAACCTTTGGTTACACACAGATCTTTAGCAAATACAAGAAAAGATAATGCTAGAAAATAAAGATCTTTTACTTAAGCAAAGAGAGGCTTGAAGTAAGAATAGGTTAGCAGAGAGATGCGCGCGTTC